TGGCTTTTTTCTCAAGACATATTCTTTAAAAACGTACTCCTTGCTAAGCAGAAAATTCTAGCTGACATGAGTCTGTAACCAAGACTCTCTCTCTCTGAAAGAACAAAGTTTAGCTATTAGGAAAGCCCCTGGACTTCTTTCATATGTGGAAAAAAATTAAGTTATGCGCTCAAACAACTTTACAAAAAAATACCCACTGGAACTACTGAATATAGAAGTCCACTGACAGCCCTCCAAGGCATCTTCTATTCATTTGCTCTATATCATTATAATTATTGTGAATGCAATATTTTACGTTCTACCTTTTTACTTATTTCATACTAACTTGCTAATGAATCCAATGTGCTAATTAATGAACATTTGGATTATTTCTAGTTTTTTTCCCCAGTAAGTCGCTGGGCCTGTTCTGGACTAAATATTTGTGTCCCCTACAAATCCATCTGTTGAAGTCTTAACCCCCAGTGTGATGGTATTTGGAGGTGGGGGCCTTTGGGAGGTGAGATTTAGATGAGGTCACGATGGTGGCGCCCCTACGATGCTATGAGGGCCCTGATAAGAAGAGGAAGAGACATTCCTCTCTCTCTGGCATGTGAAAGTACAGCAAGAAGGTGGCTGTCTGCAAGTCAAAAAGAGAGCCCTCACCAAAACCAGAATCTGCCAATACCTCATCTTGGACTTCCCAGCCTCCAAAAGTGTAGGAAATAATGCCTGTTGTTTAAGCAACCCAGTCTGTGGTATTTTGATATATTAGCCTAAGCTGCTTAAAGACAAGGACCTAAAGTGATATAAACAACTGGCAAATATCTGCTTGGCCCTCCACTACTTGGCTTCTGAGATTTTGCTAAGAGAACACAAAGTAGGACCACACTGCCATCACAAAGGCCCACACTGCCATCACAAACGCAGGACAAATGATGGGGAAGTTCACCCGCTCCTGGGTCATTCTGGGAAGGCTGGGGTCTCCGCAGCTTCCAGAGCCCACACCTACGGTGAACAGGTTGGTGAGGGCAGAGGACACAGGTGGACCTGACAGCAGGATGACTTCAGGGGACCAGGGCCAAGTCACATGGTGAAGACAGATGGATGGAGGCTGTGCTACCCACTCAGACCACCACCACCAGAGTGGCTAAAAAACCAACCCCTTTCCCAAGAAATTTCCCACTGGGCTTCTTTGTTTCAACATTCTCTTTTGGAAAATTCCAAACCTACAGAAAAGTTGAAAGAATAATACAATGAATACCATACACCCTACACCTAGATTCACCAGTTGTTAACATTTTGCCATCTTTGCATTCTCTCTCTCTCCATACACACCCACACTGTGTGTGTGAATGTGCCTGTAACTATTTGAATCATGACATGTCATCCCAAAATGTTTCAGCGTGCATCTTCCTAAGGATAAGGACATTGTTTACACAGCCATCTGCCGGTATTGTACACAAAATATTCAGCGTTGATTCAATAAGCTTACCTAACACACCCATTTATTTAAAAAATGTCTCAATTATCTCTAGTATGTCTTTTATAGCTCCCTACTCCCATCCCTGATCGAGAATCCAATCAAGGATCAAGATTGTATTTATGTGTCATATTGCTTTAATCTCCTAAATCCCAATTAAATCTAGAAGAGTCTCTCTGTGCATGACACCGGCCCACTGCCTTGCAGGAAGTCCCTACTCTTGTCTTTTTTTTTTTTTTGAGACAGAGTCTCGCTCTGTCGCCAGGCTGGAATGCAATGGCACAATCTTGGCTCAACTGCAACCTCAGCCTCCTGGGTTCAAGTGATTCTCCTGCCTCAGCTTCCCAAGTAGCTGGGATTACAGGCGCCCACCACCATGCCTGGCTAATTTCTGTATTTTTAGTAGAGACAGGGTTTTGCCATGTTGGCCAGGCTGGTCTTGAACTCCTGACCTCAGGTGATCCTCCCGCCTCAGCCTCCCAAAATGTTGGGATTACGGGGTTCAGCCATCATGCCTGGCCTCTAGTCTGTCTTTGAGCAGAGATAGGCCCCAAGTGCCGAGATACTTGAGTCCTGGCACAGACAAGAGATTTAACTCTAGTGCTATTCAAATGACCCTTGACGCTTTGCCAATGACCACTGTTTGGGAATCCAACCATCCAGTCTTGCTCGAATCCACAACTCCATTAGGTAAGAGGCCTGGCAATCCTAAAACCCCAACCTACACAAGAGCACCAAGAAAGCCCCGAGTCCTGGCCTGAAAAGAGGCCAGCTCTTGTTCTTGACTTCGTTGGCTCATGATTCTTTGTGTGAACAGCACTTGCCTGTAATGCTTCCTCACAGCCCACCCCTCGCTAATCCTTAGGAGAGAAAAAAAAAGAGGTTCCAGCAGTATCTTTCTGCTTCTCCTCAGCCTCCCTGCCCTGGCCTGTGCTGCCCTGGGGAGGCTGCACTGATCTCATCCCCATTTCTTTGGTCCACTTTCAGGGTCTCAGCCTACAGTGGCCCCTCCCCACTACTTTGTCCTTGGCCAAAGAGGGTACCGTGCACCTAGGGGACGCTCCTAAGTGATCCCCAACAGCAGCTGAAGGCTGCTTCCCGGGGTGAGAGATCCTCTCAATAATCAGCTTTGTAGTCGGTGGCAGCAGCTGCCCCAGCCAGCCCAGGCATCTTTGGGAAGGGAGAGGACTGGATTAGAAAGGAAGCAGTTAATGGAAAATGAAGAGGGAGGGGAGAGGTAAGTTACACGCTGCTCCCCAGGGCAGTGACTTCCGAGCTAACAGCAGGTGGTGTTACCCTCCTCCCTTGCTGTTGATGGGGTTTGCTTAGGGAGGGAGGGAGGGAGGAAGAAGGAGGCTGGCAGAGGGCATCGCCCCACTTCCCAACCCCGATTTGAGTTGTCTTCCCCAGGGGGCCTTTTTCCTGATCTGTCCTCCAAGCCCCAGCAGTGTGATCATCAGAAGAAAGCACTGGAAGCTCTTGGAAATGCTGGAGTACACTTCAGGACAATTTCTTTTCCTTCTTTTTTTTTTTTACTTGTCACTGACTTGAAGCTCATTAAGACAATTTCTAAGCAGCTTCTTAAGTAATGCCACCACTGGGAGTGGGTGGGATGACACAGTATCTGTGTCCCCACAGCACCTGGCTTAATGTTTGCAGGCAGGAGTTTTGGGGGAGCTTTGGCCAGCTCAGGAAGGCCTGGGGACTGGAGCCCAAAGGGGAAGGACACTAACTTCAATTGAATTCTCCTGTTGGGTGGGTTCCCTCTGGAGGGTGCTTTACCGGGAGGACAAACACAAGCTTCAAGTCATCCTCACTGGCACCTATGTCATGGGGGCTGGCTGGCATGTGAACCCCCGTACTGCCTTGTCCTTCAGAGCACCCATTCAGCCTCAGAGAATGTGCATTCGCCCAGACAGAGGAAAATTATGCGAGGGGCCCTATTTAAACACCAATGAACCTATTCCTGTAGGTATCATGTGCTGAGAGCCGAAAGCCTTGTAAAAAGTTCTTTAAGCGTCGTGCCCCACAGGATTGAGATAAGACAGGGCGCTGCTAAAGGACATTCTGCACTGCAGTCCAGAGCCTGGTGTGGGTGATAAAGGGACAGCCCTGTAAGGCCAGGGCTGACTGACTGAGGGTGCATGACGGCTCCAGAACTGTCTAAAGGCCTCTCCTGCTCCCGCGAGACCTCGATGGAGGCAGGAATCCCAAATATGGGAGCAAACACAACAGGTCAGCACATGTCCAAACCGCCCCCCTCCACCATCACCCGGTGAGGTCTGCAAGCCCACCTCAAGCAAGAACGGTAGGGCCTGCCCCTCGACCCCCCACCCCATTAAACGGGCTGGTTAGAATCCTCTCTAATGACACAATTAGTCACCCACTTGTCAAGCAAAGCGCCTGCTCAGATGGGGTCTGGCGCACTTACTCAGCAAAGAGAAATGCCTCTGAGCACAGCCTGGCTGCCTCCTCCTCCCCGAAGGGCTTCTCTCCAGGGTAAACCATTGTGTCCAGCACAGGACAGAGTGGGCACGTAGGCACGCAGACAACGCGCATCCCGGCTCTCCTCCCTTCCAACAAAAGGAGCTCAGGGGTAAGAACAAGGGATTACAATCCGACTGGAGACCATGGCGGTGGCCTGGACCAGCCAAGCGTGGTGAACTCCTGGGAACATGAGCACACAGCTTTCCAGTCTAGAGTGTAGGGACGAGGATGAGTGGATGAGGGAAATCCGATTCCTCTCCTGATATCCACAGGCAGGACAGGGTGGCCAGGGCCGAGCTGACCGACAGCATGGTGGGAGGCCTGGGGCAGAGGCAGGGAGGGCCGCTTTGGGGTGCTCACTGGTGTTCCAGGAGGGCTTTATCCTGCATCTTCACTCCAGGCCCAGCTTACCTACAACCCGGGGGAGTGGGGGTAGGAGGGTGTTAAGAGATGTGTAGCTTAAAAGGACAATAAAAAGAACTGCTGGGCTCGGGTGCCTTTTCTTTCAGTCTCAGCCTACGGGCTTCACAAAACACCACAGCACTGACTCTGAAATCCTGACTTCAAATTGACTGAAAAAGAAAAGCCAGCTTTCCTCCCTCGCCCCCCGAAAGTACTACTTTTTAAACGAAAGATAACTCTCATGGCAGGCCTTGAAATAAGCCGTAGGCACGTGGATTTGGGAACCGGTGGGCGGGAGGGGTCAGAGGTGGGTGTGGAGCAAAATTCCAAGTCCCGGTCGCAAGGCCTGGGAGCCAGCAGCTGCGGAGCACGCCCTGGGCTGGGAGAGGCCGAGGTGAGGGGAGAGCAAAACACCTCCAAACAAACTCCTTCGGGGTCGCCCCTCGCCACACTTTCTGGGGGAGGGCGGCGACTTTGCGGGCCTGCGGCTTAGCATGGCGGGACCTGCATTTCCTGTGGGCCGAGAGTTCTGCGCTTCCCGGGGGCAGCCTGGGCTGGAGGCTGCGGTCCCGCTCCCTGGCTTGGCGGGGAACGGCAGCGGGGGCTGGAGCCCCGGGGGTGGGGAGAGGGCCGCAGGGGCCCCGGTGCGTACCTGCCTCGCCTCCGCCGCCTGCTCCTCCGCCTCCGCTGGCGCCGCCGCGGGATCCCCTGGCCCTTCGGGCTCCCCCGGTCCCGCAGGCTCCCCGGGCTCCCCCGGCCCCGCGGGCTCCCCAGGCTCCTCTGGCCCCGCGGGCGCGGCCGCCGGCTCGGGGGCGCAGGGGCGGGACGGCGCCGGGGCCCTGGTGGCCTCGGCCGGGGGCGCGGGTTCCGGGGGCGTGCAGGCAGGCTCCGGGCTCGCGGCCGCCCCACGTCGCACCAGCAGCCAGGCGAGCAGAAGGGCCAGCGCAGTGGCCAGCGCAGGCAGGGCGGCCAGCAACTCGGCCGGCGCCTCCATTGCGCCGCGGCCGCCGAGTGCCGGCCCGCTGGGACCCCGGGGGAGCCCGCCGCGCCCGGTCGCCGCGCCCCGCCCCGGGGCGGAGCCCCCGTCGCCCGCGCCCCGCCCTCGGCATCCTCCGGCCCCCGGTGGTGACGCACAGGCTGTAAGCGGGGGTGTAGGGGGGCAGAGCCCTGACCCCCTGGGAGGCACAGGAGGGCCAACCCCTGCCCAGCCTGGGCAGCCTTGACGCTTTGGGGCACATTTAACTCAGGTTCAGTTTGAAATACTGTATGATGTGCCCTGAGGTTGTCATCTTTGGCCTTAGTACAGCAGTTTGTCTTAGAGCATTTTGGAAATAGCAGTGCTAGTTGGGGAATGCAAAGAGACAAGCAAACCCGGGAAGATTCATGGAAACAGCAGCCTGGATTGCCTTGTAAAACAATGAAAAGCCGGATTACGTTTAGCCACTGCCGTTTTTATAGGCATGTCAGGAGTTGCTTTTAATCCTTAGGGTTGCCTTAATGCACTTTCACAGAGGACATCTCCAGATCCCGGCCAGTGAATGCTCCCTTCGGCGCTGAGGCCAGCAGTCTTCAACACAGGCCGCCCTGTAACGTAACATGGCTCCCCCGCCCCCAGACCTGAAATTCAGCTGCAGGTCCTTGGTCAACGCTATTCCTCCTACCGGACTTTCTTCTTTGCACAATTCCAGAATGCATGCAGGGTGGGAGGGTGCAGTGAAGGAAATGAAGGCTATTGTTTTTGTTTCTCCAGATCCTCCCAGGCCTCTGTTGCTGAACAGTGGATTTTGAGGTAAACACGTTGTAACCAAAAACATATTTTCCTACCACGCCCCACCCACTCTTTAGTTATTTTAAATAAACACAAGACGGGCATGTCAGGTATCATGCCAAACATAAGGCCTAATGTTAAAAAAACACGGTTCCAGTTTTTGCTGAGGATGCATTTAATACTTTTTTGGGAAAATTACAGTGCCTGAGCTGATCTGTGATATAAACCAAGATGTGAGATGAAGTGCTTCTTTTTAAATGTATACAAACAAGACCCCCCCAGCAACAGGGAGAGCTGAATTCTGCTGCACTGCATGATATTAAAAGGGCCATGCATTTCCTTTTAGTGGTGGTTGATGAAAAGAGCCCCCAACTATAAAATGTGAAATAGGCTTTCTTTATGGGCAACTAGCTTTTGACCACTGTGGAACTTTCAGTCAGTGTATGGGCCTTACTATTTTTTTCTTTCTTTTCTTTTTTTTTTGAGATGGAATCTTACTCTGTTGCCCAGGCTGGAGTGCAGTGGCGCTATCTTGGCTCATTGCAACCTCCGCCTCCCAGGTTCAAGTGATACTCCTGCCGGAGAAGCTGGGATTACAGGTACATACCACCACGCCCAGCTACTTTTTTTCTATTTTTAGTAGACAGGGTTTCACCATGTTGGTCCAACTGGTTTCGAACTCCTGACCTCAGGCAATCTGCCCGCCTCAGCCTCCCAAAATGCTGGGATTACAGGCATGAGCTTTCGCGCCCAGCTGACCTTTCTTTCTTTCTTTCCTTTTTTTAAAGAGACTGGGTCCTTTTTTTTTTTTTTTTTTTTTTTTTTTTTAAAAAGACAGGGTCTCACTATGTTGCTCAGGCTGGAGTGCAGTGGCTATCCACAGGCATGATCATAGCTTTCTGCAGCCTCGAAATCCTGGGCTCAAGTGATACTCTGGCCTCAGCCTCTTGGGCAGCTGGGATTATAGCTGTGCATCTATGCTTCTGGCCCAGGGTCTTAATTTTGTGCCCCATTCTTTGTTTTAAAGTATAAATTACATTTTTAAAAAGTCCTGTTCTGCTGACAAAGTACATTCTATTGACTTTCAAATGAGTAAGAAAGAAAATAAGGACAAAACAATGCCAAAAACACAACTCCATGTTGCTTTATTTAAAATGATGAACAAGTTTCACCCAAGTGAAAGTTAAAAATACCAACCCAGTGACAGATCCACAGGCGTTTCATGGCAGACCCCATGGCTAGACAGACACAGGACAGTGTTCTGACAACTCCAGGAGGCACGAGTGCGCAGAAGACAGTCCCAGTTCTTCTGTAGCATCCAGTCACCTTGGAGACAGCTGGCCAGGGCTGGCTCTCCTTCCAGGAGGTTCACTGGGGCTTAGATGAATTTTTTTTTTTTTAAAGACAGAGTCTCGCTCTGTTGCCCAGGCTGGAGTGCAGTGGTATGATCTCAGCTCACTGCAACCTCTGCTTCCCAGGTTCAAGTGATTCTCCTGCCTCAGCCGACCGAGTAGCTGGGACTACAGGCACATGCCACCACGCCTGGCTAATTTTTGTATTTTTAGTAGAGACAGGGTTTCCCCATGTTGGCCTGGCTGGTCTTGAACTCCTGACCTCAAGTGATCCACCCGCCATGGCCTCCCAAAGTGCTGGGATTACAGGGGCGAGCTACTGCACCTGACCAAAATTTCTAAACTAACAATGAAAGTTGAGAGCCACCGCCTGGGGGCACAAGTTCATCTAGTTTTGCTGTATAGGATGTCACACCTTGACACAAGCTAGTGGGAGGGGAGTGTGGAAGAAGCTGCCAGACTCCACTTCAAATCTACCAGCAATACCAGTACACGCATCAAAAACAACGTACTTGTGGGAATACTAAAGACAATCTAAAGAACCTACAGCTGGGGCATCCTTATACACCTACCTCCTACACAGCATTTTTTACATTTACTGCAAAAATTTTGTTCCATCCTATACTCTTGTTGAAAGTCCTAAATCCAAGGCTGAGTCTCCAGTAAGTTTGTAAAGCACTTGCACCAGCAACTTTTCCACAGATCCTTAGTTTTGCTACTTTATGAAGAAGCTGTTACTACCTTAAGTATACAGCGGTGTTAATTACGCTCTTTCATGTAGAGCCCGTACACCTGCATTTAAGAAGGTCTGCACTTCCTTCTACCTGCCCTCACCAGCAGCCTTGTGAACAGCTGCACATTCACAGTCCATTAAGCTTGTCAGGGATCTGGGTTTGTCACCACATCTCCAGCACCTCAAGAGCAGTGCCTGGCCCTCAAACACCTATTGAACGCCTGAATTATTAAGACATGGACAGCTGCAAGAATACAGCAAAATGTGAATAATGTTCCTCTTTTCAGTGGCTCTCCCCTCAAGGATGTCACCCTAAACATCCCAGTACCACTAACTGCAGAGGCACGTACATGTATACAGCATGGATTCTTCCAGCTGATGGTGAAGCCTCATCCCCAAAGGTCCTCATACCCAGGGTCCTCCTGATGTTCTCAGTCCCCAACTCATGTCTCTCCCACTCTGGTCCTTCCATCAGAAGTTAATAGTCCAAGACCCCTTCTTCCAGGACCCAGCTCTTTGGTTTTAAGATCTGCTGTCACCTTGGAGAATCATCCCTGAAAATAATCTAACATTATCTCCTTCACTTAACTGTTGTTGGCACCACTCAGTGGAGTAACTCACGCCAGATGGGAAGAAGAGTTAACTTCTGAACAAGTGGTCTCTGGGTACCCACTCTTCCTACTCTACACTGGCCACCTGCCACCACGCCACTCCTTTCTCACACACGGTTTCCCCACCTTGCCCCTGCTGTGCTTACGTAACAGAGAGCCTGGCTAGCCCACAGTGACAGTAAGCAGGGTAGGGGGTAGGGCTGCTGAATTCCTGGCCTGGCAGGAATAAACAAAGCATGTCCCAGGAGCACATAATCTGTACTATCCAGACCCCGTACTATCCAGAGCTGACTTGGGCCTATCAGGTATGTTATTCCCCTCATTTCTGGAATACTGTTACCAAACAGGAATCACCTTTAGCATCTGGAGAAGGAAAACCGGGTGGCTAATCTTTATTTTCTAGATTATTTTTTTGAGAGATGGGATCTCACCATGTTGCCCAGACTGGTCTTGAACTCCTGGACTCAAGCGATCCCCCTGTCTCAGCTTCCCAAAGTGTTGGGATTACAGGTGTGAGCCACTGCACCTGGCCTGGGTGGCTAATTTTTAAAATTCAAAATTTCTGCTCTACTATCCAGACCACTGGCAACGTGTCCTACCACGCCCCCTGGTGGCAAATAGCCTTTTTGGGCTTTATTTTAATTTTAAACTGAAGTTTAGAGGAGTGGTTGATAGAAAATTGAGAGGAAGGTAAGGAAAAAGGGCAAATGTGGCAGCACAGGAGCAATACTGGGAAAAAGAAAAAAGCTTTTTGTAGATGGCAAGAAAAGTCTTTTTAAAAAGCAGGAGGAGCAACACCACTCAGACGTTACTACCAAGAGATTATACATTCAGAGTTTGACTTTATAGCCAAACACATCCTGTGCCCACCACAGAACCAAGGGAGCTGTGGGCGTGAGGGTAAGGCGGGAGAGCAGCCCCCATGGCAGGCAGGCAGCACAGTTCTACCTACCCAGCCACATACTGGGTTTGGCATTTTAGGATGCAAAAAATTGAAATTGAACTAAGACAAAAAATAGAGAACCAGCCTCCTAAAGCCACATGACCCAATGTCAGGAAATGACAGTCTGTTAATAACAGTGGGCAGAGACCTGTATTTTCCTGGTTACACCTGTTTCTAGTGGATACTTTGAGAGGCAACAGCACACAATTCTAACGCATCCACACGCAGCCTCCCCGCCTGTGAACACTGCAGTGAGAGCTCCTTCCCACCTGCCTGCCAGTGCCTCCAACGCTCCAGCCCAGGCAGTGCTTCCAAGTGGGCACCATGGCCTTGACAACCCCTCTTATTTTTTATTTAAGTTTAGTTGAATTTAGGGACAAATTAAGGCAAGCAGGTGAATCAAGAGGGCAAGAGATGGCATCTGCTGGTCAATCCCCAAAAAGTCATCCAGTTACTTAGAAGTATCAACAGACCTCAAAGACTAGAGCTGCCATCTCCAATTTACTCCCCATGTGTAACACAAGCGACCCACTTAACGTCTGTAGGTCAAACAAATGAGGAACGCCAATCTCAGAGTACCTTGCAAAGTGAGCGCTTCTTAGGGATCCCGTGGTGGGGAAGAATGGAGCTTATTCATACTTTAAGTTCTGTGGTAAGAGCACAC